GTCTGAGTGGGGCCACATGCTGGATTTTCGTCTATGACACCGGTCCTCTACATCCCAGTACCTGCAGTCTGCAACAGAAGAGGATTTGCACTGAGAGGACCCGACCACTTGCCTTGATGTCTCCTGGGCAAGCAACTTGCTTGTTCTTGTAGTAACAGTCGGACTGCCTATATTGTTTTGTATTTTTCCTGTTGGTCTTTCTTTCAAGAAGTATCTTCTGTTTTTCTAGCTGCTCCAGGCTGGTCTGCTTGTCCTTTCAAGTGAAAAATTTCCCGTCTCTGAAGATCTGGATGTGGTTCAGGCTTCCACCTATAGTCTTATGTAATGCAGAGGCTCCTCAGGAAACCTCCTTCACTGGACACATTGTAGCTCCATTTTAGGTATTCCAATCAGTTATAGGCAGAAGACAAGGTCAGGGGCAGACTGTGGGACAGACCATCAATTACTCATATGCAAATTCAAACAGAAATTAAAGAAAATGAAAACAAGTCCACAAGAGCCAAAATATGACCTTGAATACATCCCCCCTGAATTTAGAGATCATCGGAAGAACAGATTTGATACATTAAACCGTTAGCCTTTGGAGAGACATTATCTCACCCCAACATTAATGTTCTTGTTAAGTGGCATCGAGTCAATTCGGACTCATATAGATCCTGTATGGGGTTTCCAAGGAGAGGCTGGTGGGTTTGAACCACTGACCTTGTGGTTAGTAGTCCAGGGCTTATCCTATAATGTCACACCAGGACTCCACCAGCATTAATTGCTGCTGTTTAGTGCCGTTGAGTCAATTCCATCTCATAACGATCCCATATAGGGTTTCTGAGGAGCGACTGGTGGATTTGAACCGAGGAGCCCCTGATGAGCTTGAACTGCTGACATTGCAGTTGAAACAACTTTTCAGTCTGACGCGTTAACCCACAGCGCCACACAAGGACTCCATGTTCCTCTTATAGACCTGTCTATTGTTTGTCTGAAAATTGAGCTGTGGGGTGCGCTCATTTCCATACCTTGTAGCTAAAACCACTATTATTTAAATTTACGCACCAATCACTAAAGCCAGGGATGATGAAATTGAAGAATTCTACTAGTTTCTTCAGTCTAAAGTTGATCAACATTCAATCCATATGTATTGATAATTACTGGTAATTGGAATGTAAAGATTGGAAACAAACTATTAGTTTGAAAATATGGCCTTCATGATAGAAACAATGCTGGAATTTGCATGATAGAATTTTGCAAGACCAATGACTTGTTCATTGAAAATACTTTGTTCAAACAACATAAAATATGACTATATACATGGACAGCACTAGATGAAGTACACAGAAATCAAGTTGACTACATCTGTGGGAAGAGACTGTAGAAAAGCTCCATATCATTAGCCAAAACAACACCAGAGACAGACTGTGGAACAGAACATCAGTTGCTCATATTCAGTTTAGGCTGAAACTGAAGAAAATGAAAACAAGTCCACAAGAGCCAAAATATGACCTTGAACATATCCCATCTGAATTTAGAGATCATCTCAAAAGCTGATTGGATGCATTAGACACTAATGAACTAAAACCAGAAACGCTGTGGGATGACATCAAGAACATCAGACAGGAAAAACGCAAAAGGTCATTCAGAAGACAAGAAAGACCAACATAGATGTCAGAAAAGACTCTGAAACTTGCTCTGCAGTGTAGATATGCTAAAGTTAATGAAAGACATGAGGAGGTAAAAGAGATGAACAGAAAATTTCAAAGGGCAGCTCAAGAAAACAAAGTCAAGTATCATAATGTATTGTGCAAAGACTTGGAGTCAGAAAACCAAGAAGGAAGAACATGCTCAGCATTCCTCAAGCTGAAAGAACTGAAGAAAAAATTCAAGCCTTGACTTGAAATACTGAAGGATTCTCTGGGCACAATATTGAATGATGCAGAAGGCATCAAAAGAATGGGGAAGGAATACACAGAATCATTGTACCAAAAAGAAGTGGTCAATGTTTAACCATTTCAAGGGGTAGCATATGATCAAGAACCAATGGTACTGAGGAAGAAGGTACACTGAAAGCATTGGCAAAAAACCAGACTCTGGGAATTGGTGAAATACAGACTGAACTCTTTCAACAAGCCAATGCAGCACTGGAGGCACTCACTCATCTATACCAAGAAATTCGGAAGCTAGGCTATCAGGCCAATCAATTGGAAGAGATCTATATTTGCACCTGTTCCAAAGAGAGAGAGATGATCCCACAGAATGCAGAAATCACCTGACAATATCATTAAAACCACATGCAAGTAAAATTTTGCTAAACATAACTCAAAATGGCAACAGTACATTGACAGGGAACTGCCAAAGGTTCAAGCCAGAATCAGATGAGGACGTGGAATGAGGGATATCATAGCTGACATCAGATAGAGCTTGGCTAACAGCAGAGAATACCAGAATGATGTTTACCTGTGCTTTATTGACTATGCAAAGGCTTTTGACCGTGTGGATCATGACAAGCTATGGGCAACGTTGCGGCGACTGGGAATTCCAGAGCACTTAATTGTGCTCATGAGGAACTTGTACCTGACCAAGAGGCAGTCATTTGAACAGAACAAGGTGACACTCAGGAAAGGTATGAACCAGGGTTGTTTTCTTTTACCTTACTTATTCAATTTGTATAAAGGAGCTCTGGTAGCGTAGTGGTTACGAATCAGGCTGCGAACTTTAAGGTCAGAGGTTCGAAACTACCAGCCGCTCCGCGGGAGAAAGATGAGGCTTTCTACTCCCGTAAAGATTTACACCCTCGGAAACCCTGTACAGGGTCGCTATGGGTCGGAACCGACTCGAAGGCACTTAACAACAACAACATTCAATTTGTATGCTGATCACATAATCCAAGAAGCTGGATTATATGAAAAAGAACATGGATGGCATTAGGATTGGAAACTCATTAATAACCTGCGATCTGCAGATGATACAACCTTGCTTGCTGAAAGCAAAGAACTTGAAATACTTACTGATGAAAATCAAAAACTACAGCCATCAGTATGGGTTGTAACTCAATGCAAAGAAAGCAAAATTCCTTACCACTTTACCAATAGATGGAGAAATAAATGTAGAAACTCATGGAAGCAGCAGTTAAGTAATCAAGTAATGTATTGCATCAGGCATATCTGCTGCATAAGACCCCTTTAAAGTGTTCATGAGATTTTCAAAGATGTCAGTTTGAGGATTAAGGTACACCAGATGGAAGCCATGGTATTTTCAATAGCCTTATATGCAAGTTAAAGTTGGACAGTGAATAAGCAAGACTGTAGAAGAATTGATGCATTTGAGTTATGGTGTTGAGGAAGAATATTAAAAGTCCCATGGACTGCCAGAAGAACAAACAAATCTGTGTTGGAAGAAGTATAACCAGAATGCCCCTTAGAAGCCATGTTGGCGAGGTTTTGTCTCTCATATGTCTGACATATTATCACGAGAAACCAATCCCTGAAGAAGAGCATCGCTCTTGGTAAAGTGGAGGGTCAGTGAAAAAGAGGACGACTCCCAAACAAGATGGATTGGCACAGTGTCAGCGGTAATGAGTTCAAGTTCAAGAACGCTTGTGAGGATGGCGCAGGACTAGGCCATGTTTTCTTCTGTTGTGCCAAGGATCGCTCTGGGTTGGAAGTAACTCAATGACACCTAGCAACAACATTGACCATGGTGTCCCCTGAGACTATTGTCCAGGCCTAGCAACTCATTCCAGGGAGGCACTCTTTAAGAAGAACAATTTAAGATGACATGAAGTTTCATACAGACTCAGAGTGGAGCCCACACAGGGCAAAAGCCTTCAGAAGTTTTACATTCATGTTGGCTCTGTCATTAAGATCCAAATAGTCTTATTTGGGAACACAACACATGTGTTATTTTCAAAGGGTAGTTGAATGGGACTCACTGAGCAGATGGTTAAAGAGGCAACAGAGAGGGCTGGCCAGGCAACTGTCTGGGGACAAGGTCCAGGACTGAGCCGCAGAAAGAGCAGGGAGGGTGGAGTCCACTGGGATGAAGTTGGAGAGGGACTGGGGCAAGGTCATACAGAACCAGACTGACCTCCAGAGGACTTGAGTGATCCGGTGGGGAGAGGTTCTTAGGCCCTGGAGGGATCACGGGTGCAGGCTGCATGGTCTGAGGTGTGAAGGGAGGTAGAGACATGCAGACCAGGAACAAGGGTGGTGGCAGGGAGGAGATTCAGAGATGTGGCCTGGGTATGAGGCTTGGTGCCTAGAGGCTTCTCTGCACCCTGTTTCCTAGTGACATGTGGGTACTCAGCACAGTGTTGCTGGTGGGCTTAGCAACAATGAAGAAGAAGATGATGATGAAGATGACAGGAATGGTGGGGCCACTAGGCAGATCCAGGAGGGGAGGGGAGGGCAGGGAGTTCCGAGGCTGTGCAGAGACTGAGCTCCTGTAGGTTAAGGGCTGGGGGGTGGGGGAAGTGCGAGGGTCCCAGAGTGGACTGTCCATGGTGCAGGGGTGATGTGGTGGCCAGGGACCAGAGTCCCGTGGGTAGATTTAATGGGAATATGCGTGCGCATTTCTAGAGGCTGCAGGGAAGGCCAGAGGGAGCCGAGGAGTCCTAAGGCCACTTCCCTACAGCCAGGCAGGCACTAGTTAACAGCTACCTCCTGTCGTGGATCAGGGCTCTTTGGACCTAAGAGCTGTTAGGAGGGGCTTCAGCAAAGTGGGGTGCAGTACGGTGGGCTTCTTCAGGGGTGCCACAGGCAGAAGTTGAACAAGCACCTGACCCGAACGCACCCAGTACGCAGCAGCTCGCCCGCCCGGCCCCTCCCTCTCATTTCCTCGGACAGTTTCACTTTTTGTTTCCCGGCAAAGCCAGTCCCCAAGCTAGGCAGACTGAGCAGACGCTGGGGTCTCATGAAGGCAGGCGGGGGCAGGGGCGCAGAGGCGCAGGACAGAGGGGTAAGTAAGTGCGGGATAGAGGTGCTGGGGTGGGACAAGTGAGCTCAGAGTGGGCCATGGTTCTCCCCACTCATCGCCCCACCCAGACTGCAATGGCGGAGGCGGATGCAGCCGTCGAACTTTGGGGATTGCCCCCCGAAGTGTCGGATGAGTTGCTCACTCTCTACTTCGAGAATCGGCGCTCCGGCGGGGGGCCTGTGTTGAGCTGGAAGAGACTTGGCTGCGGGGGCATCCTAACCTTTCGGGAGCCTGCAGGTGAGGGGCTGATGGAAGGGACAGCTTGGGTGCCCCAAGAGCCTACCTGCTCAGACCTCTCTCGCTCCTTCCCGCAGACGCCGCGAGGGTCCTGGCTCAGGGGGAACACATGCTGTTGCAGGCACGGCTGAGCCTGCGGCCGGCTCCGCCCTGGGCCCCCGCGCGCCTGCTACTGCTAGGGCTGCGTCCGGGCATCACGGCCCAGCGCCTGGAACAGCACGTGCAGACCCTACTGAGTGCCGCCGGACTCCCCCAACAGGTCTGCCGGGCCCTAGACAGCCCCCGGCCAGACCGCGCGCTGGTCCAGCTGCAGGAGCCGCTATCCGAGGCAGGTGAGAGGTGGGACTGCTTGGGCGCAGAGTGGAGAGGTGTCCAGCTGACTGTCCCCTCCCTGCAGAGTTCGGTGTCCTGGAAGAGAAGGCTCTGGCGCTCGACCTGGACGGCGATGCGATGTCCCTGGTCCGGGTGCCCCAGGCCAGAGCAGTGCGGGTGATGAGGGGTACGTCACCCCCAGATCCATTTCTGCTGGAGTTGTACCTGGAGAATCAACCCCGCAGTGGTGGTGGGCCTCTGGAGGGATTGCGCACCTTGCCGGGAGACTTGGGCATGGTAGTCTCCTTCCGCCAGTGGCAGGGTGAGTGTGGCTGCCTGTGCTCGGTAGGCCTGCCCTCCATCCTGCACGGACACTCAGCTCTAATCTCCTCGGCTGTCCCTTCCTCCAGTGGCCGAGCGGGTGCTTCAGCGAGACCACTGGCTGCAAGACTCCGAGCTGTACCTTGTCCCGCACTACGATGTCTTGGAGCCCCAGGAGCTTGCTGTGGACCCCTATGAAGGGGATCATGTGGCTGGGCTGTGGCAGGCTCGGGATCATAATATCCTGGAAGCTAAAGGGCCGTCGAAGACTCTGGAAGGCAGAGGGCCTGTGATAGAAACTGTGGAGGCTTGGGGACCACCAGGAATCACTCTGAACCCAGGACCTGAGGGGCCTCTGGGGCAGGAGGGGCCTGTAAGCCAGGGTTCCCTGAGGTCCCTGGAGCAGGGTGACTTGGTGGAGATAGTTCGGGAAGAGATGGAGCCACCGGTGGAGATGGTGCAGACGGAGGTGGTTCGGGGACAGATGGAGCAGCGGGACAGGGAGCCAGTGGAGATGGTCCTGTCCATGGATCCAGGGGCGCTGCGCTTTCTGCAACTCTACCACGAAGACCTCCTCGCCAACCTGGGAGATGTCGCCCTCTTCCCCCTTGAAGGGTCGGATGTGGCTGGCTTTCGGGTGCGTGACCTCTCAGACTCCTTGGCATCCACCCCTCTTCCACTGGGGACTCTGGGCATCTTTTGTGTGCTCTGATCCTGCAAATGACCCTCATCCCCTGGCCCGGCAGATCTGTGGTGCCCTTGCCCCATGCCAGGCAGCTGAAGAGTTTTTGAGGAGCCTGCTGGGCAGCCTCAGCTGTCACATGCTGACCCTGAAGTACCCGGGCAGTGCCAGCTTCTTGCTGGGTCCAGAGGGACAGCAACTCCTCCGGGACCTGGAGGCTCAGTTCCAGTGTGTCTTTGGGACAGAGCAGTTGACCAGGGTCACTGTGGACACAGGTTACGAAGAGGTACAGGTGGAGTCCTGCCCAAACCTCCCCTTCCGAACACCTGGGCCAGGCGGGGGTGTCAACTTGGTGGACCTTGACCTCCCCCTGCAGGTGGATCCCACTGAGGCCCTCCAGGCCCACACTCCAGTTTTTCCAGAGGGTTCCAGCAATGACCAGGAGACTGTGGGCCTGGGTGAGACTCCCTGAGGACCCTTCCAGGTGTCTGGGGCCCTTCTTGACCTCACCCTCTGCGCTGCTCTCAACCCACCTGTTGCCTGACCCTTCCTACCCCACCCTGCATCCCTAGACCCTGACTCCTCTTGCCTTTCACCCTATCCCTGCTCGTGGCCCCCACCTTGACCCAGGGGCCTCTCCTGTCCCCAGAGGAAGTCCAAGAGCTGATGGCCACCCTGGAGGGCCTGGACGGAGAGGAGTGGCTGCCTCTGGAGCAGGGGGAGGGGAAGACTGAGGAGACTCGTCCCATAGAGGAGGAGGCGGAGGCATCGAGTGTGGGGTGCTCTGAATTGGAGGCTATGCCCCCCAGCCCTGGGGCTCCAGAGCCGCTGCAGGAGGCAGCCTCATTGCAGTTGGCCCTCCACCGGTCACTGGAGCCCGGAGGAGGGGTAGCTGAGCAGGAGGAGGCGGCCGCACTGCAGAGAGCTGTGGCCCTGTCTCTGCTGGAGCAGCCCCCATCAGGAGTTGAGGTGGGACCAGCCCAGCTGCTGGTGCACTCGTCCTTTGAGCAGGACCTGGAGGAGCTGGAGCGGGCGCTGGAGGCTGCCCTGGAGGCCCACCTCTGCCAAGAGAAGGTGTACACCCGGGGCCAAGTGCTGCCCGAAGAGCTGCGTGCCCAGCTGGAACGGTACCATGGTGTGATGATCAGCCTCTGTGAGGACAGTGCTGTCTTCCACGGCTTCAGTTCCCAGCCAGCCCGTGCAATCCGCCACTTCAAAGCACTGCTAGCTGGCCCCCGGGATCAGAGCCACGCCTTTCCCCTGGGAGCCTCGGGCCTCCCCCGTGAGTGGACCTGGCCCAGTGGCAGGCAGGTGGACCAATCATCGGGCGAAGGCCCAGGCCCGGTTCTCATCCCTGCCCCTATGCCAGCGCCTCAGCCAAGGCTGAAAGGTTCCTCCATCGGGCTGGAGCAGCTGGCTGAGAGCTCCCCGGAGTTCCAGGAGGTGGTACAGGCCTTCTATGACACCCTGGATGCGGCCCACAGCTCCATCCGCATAGTCTCTGTGAGTACCATCTGCTCCTTGTCCCGCCTGTGAGCTGCCGCCCTCCCTACCTCCTGGTGACCAGCACAAACACACTGAGCATCCCAGCCTCCTACCTGAGTAGGGGAGACAGAGGGCAGAAAGTTTGGGGGGCTCTGGAACTGATAGTAATGTCCAAGTGATGGTGTGGATGGCACCTCAGTTTCCCTGTTTGGATCACACGATGGCAATGGGACTTGTGGTTACTGTGAGGATGTGCCTAGGTGCTGGGACCTGGGTGACCAGGACAGCAGCCTGTCATCTGTGGTGGTACCTGCTGCTGTGAGGCGGGCTGAAGTGTGTGTGTGTGGGGTGTCAGGGTGTTAAGAGGAGCGCTAGGGGCTGCTTGTGGGCTTGAGGGGCCCCTCTAAAATGGTCAGGAAAGGGTGTCACATTGGCTGGAGAAGTTGACCACAGGGCATCCACAATCCTGGTGCCCAGGGGAACAGATGGCACCAGGGGATGCTGAGGAAGTGCTAGGGAGACTGCCACAGGTCCTTCCAGGAGACCCCACCAGGAAAGTGAGGGTCACTGGAAGGAGGTCCAAGTCTCCCCTAGGAACAGAGACCAAGATGTAGTGACTCCTTGGGAGAACTAGGGACTGAAGATGGCCAAGCTCAGATGGGGGTCAAGTATTGACCTCCTGTGAGCTCAGGTGGGGGTCAAGTACTGACCTCCTGTGAGCTCAGGTGGGGATTCAGTGAAACCTCCAGAAGCCCAGCCTGGAGGGGGTTAGGGGGTATGGGAGGCATGAGCAGGTGTGTGTGTGTGCTGGGGCGGGGGGGACTACATGGAAGGGAGGGTGAGGGAGGAGGGTCTGGGCTGGTGGTGGGAGCAGGAATAGCTGCAATGTGGGCCAGTCTGAGACGGGAGATGAGAAGTGAGCAGAGGGGGCTTGGAGCTGGAGAGTAGCTTGTCCAGCTGAAGGAGGGGATTCCAGAGAGGGCTCGTGGAAGGACACAGTGTGGACGCCAGTGGGCTTTCAAGGCTGTGACCCTTCAGAAACACATTATCAAGCCTCCCTTCCGAGGGGCCTCTAACTGGGTTTGAACCATCAACACTTTGGGATTCGTTGCGCCACTGGGGCCTCAAGCTCTTATCAAGGTCAACCTTGAGGGAGGACAGATGCTAAGCTCAGGATGCCCCCTCAGAGTCCTGCTTCAGCTGGAGCTGCGAGTCCTCGGTCACCCCCAGTTCTAGACCACCAGGACAGAATGGGACTTTGGGTGCCCATGCCACACGGAGTACACGTCCCTCTTGCTCCTTTCAGGATGCTGGCCCCATAGGGTGCCACCCTTCTGGGCAACATCTGCTTCAGGACCCTCAAGTTGTGAGGGAAGAGTCTGCATCATTGCCTGGTCTCAGCCTCTGGACCTCCAGTGTGGTGGCACAGAGCCCCAGGCAATGGCAGGAGTTGTAGAATGAAAGTCCAGGTGTGAGGAGATGCTGTGGAAGGGATTTTCCCTGCCACACACACAGACTCCCTCATCACTGACTGTCACCTCCCCAGCCCCCGTCACTGAGAATCATACCCCATGACCACCACCGTCACTGAGAGTCACACCCCATGACCACGCCCTCACTACCATCACCACCGTCACTGAGAGTCACACCCCATGACCACCACCGTCACTGAGAGTCACACCCCATGACCACGCCCTTACTACCATCACCACCATGTCATCAAACCAGGGCCATCCCGTCACTCATCCACCACCACCACCACCACCATCAGTAACAATCCCCCATACCATCACCACCCTCCCTGACTAGCCCCCCATCCATTGTCACCAACAGTGACAATCACTAAACAACCCACTTTTGTGGAGATGCCCCTGTCATTGGATCAGGCCCTCTTCCTCCAGCCAGCACTTTGATGACCTCCTCCCTCCCTCACTGGTGAGGTCATCAGGCACACTCACTCCTTCCGCTGCTCTTTCTCCTTCATTTAACAACTTCAGAGTCTGTTCCTGACATCTCCCCCACTCAGACTCCCAGTTGGTTAGTTACATACGTTTCATTAGAGTCAAATTTGCTAACTTTATATTCTGTTACATAACTAAGCATAGCTGATAGCTATGTTACCATAGAAAACAGACACTAACCACAGAACCGTTTTGTTGTTAGCTGCCTTCCTGTTAGGCCCTGACTCAGGGTGACACCGCCCCCCACCCGGAACAAAGGAATGAGACCATTGTGATCCACTGGCTGTTTTTTGGCCTTTCATCCAGGTCTGTCTTAGTATGTAAGAAACCTACTGTAAGTCACAGCAACTACTGCAACCTGCAGGTCTCCAAGGACATGCAACTGGTAGTTTCATACGAGGTGCATTGTCTGGGAATTGAACCCGAGTCTCCCACACGCAAGGCAGAAACTCTATCACTAAACCACCAATGCTCCCATAGAACTAACTGCAGAGAGAAATGATAATCCAGTCGTTGGTTGCACGGAGGAGGAGAATGCTCCTTGGACTGAGGTCTAGTGCACCCTCCTGATTTTTTCTGAGTCAAAGCTGCTGGGATTACTCTTCCCTTCCCCCCTCCTCAGTTTAGGGGTCTTCTTGAGTGGGGACGGAACATCCTGGACTTTGACATTTATCTTGCCTTCACAGTTAGCACTATTTGCAGGTCCTGGTGGGCCTTCAGCATTTTCCCACAGAAAGTGGAAGACACTGTTTTATTTTTCTTTCTTCTTAAAATTTTTTATTTTTATGCATTGAAAAAGAACCCCTCCGTGGTCTCGGACCCTCCAGTATTAGTGTTGAGAGCCCGGTGAGAGATTTCCTCCCACGTGTAAACCACGTGGATGGTGGCCTTTCAGGTTTGAAGACTTTATAGAGTTTGCTTTCCATTTGAAAGGTGTACAGTCTTCCTGGTGGCTTTGTGATGGGGGTCCTTCCTCCCTTGCCCTTCTTGGGACTCTTTCTTCTGTTTTCTCTCAGGCTTCCTCTGCTGTCTGTCCCCTCCCCGTGGGTTCCTGTGGCCAGCAGACCCCCACCACTCCCACTGTTCCTTACCCACTCTCCATTTGCCCTTTAGCTCTGCACCCGGAGGTCCCTCACCTTTACCATCTGCTAGGAGTCCTGGGCTGGCGCTGTGGGTTAATGTGCCACACTGCAAACCGTTTGAACTGCAAGGCTGGGGGGTTCCAGCTCATCAGTCGCTCCTTGGAAACCCTATATAGGGCTGCTATGGGTTGGAACCGACTCGACGTCTCTCGATTTTGTGGTTTGGCTAACCTACCGAGCAATCTACCTGCTCAGACTCTACTTCTGAGCAAAGAATCCTAGTTGGCATAGGGAATTAGGCATTGGGCTGCTAACTTTAAGGTTGGTGGTTCAAACCCGCCAGCTGCTCCTTGGGAGAAAGCTGAGGCTGTCTGCTCATGTCTGATTCATGTTTAATGGGTGGAACTCGACTTTCATGCTTCTTTTTCAGGGCAGGTACCCTTACTTCCTGGATTGAATCATCTTTTGCATCCCTACTAGTGAGATTTTTTTTCAGCACTCTGGTGGGTCTCTGCATTTGTCCTCCAGGATGGACTGAGGGGTTGGTCACTCTGGGTCTTCCCTGCCACCCAAGACTGTTGGGATCAAGTTCTGCTGGGCAGCTTTGCTGGTGTATGCCAAGCTTTGTTGAGTGGGCAGTGTGTGCCCACCCTATCAGCTTCTTGGAAGGAGTGGGGCCTTACTTGGAGGGATCAGACTTACCTGGAGGAGGTGGGAACCCCCTGCAGGGGTCAGATTTCCCAGAAAGGAAAAGGGTTCTGAACTTCCATGGGACAGTCAATGTCTGCTGCTGGTCACAGTGTCCTGGGGCCTCCGGAAGTGTCCTGGCCCTGAGGCTGGACTAGCTCCCTTTCTGGGAATGCAGGAGTGTGTATGTGTGTGTGTGTGTGGGGGGGGGAGTGACACCGCCCCTTATGCCCCGCAGGTGGAGCACGTGTCGCACCCGCTTCTTCAGCAGCAGTATGCGCTACAACGCCAGCTGCTGGAGCAGCGCTGTGAGAGGAGGCAGGCTGAGCAAGTCCTGTACCATGGTACATCCGCGTCGGCCGTGCAAGACATCTGCGCACATGGCTTCAACCGCAGCTACTGTGGCCGCAACGGTGAGCAGTAGACCAGGCTGACAGGGTCTCGGTGGCCCATGCGCCCCTGACCCGCGCCCTTCTCGCCCTGCAGGCACACTCTACGGAAAGGGCGTGTACTTTGCCAAGCGCGCCTCCTTGTCGGTGCAGGATCGCTACTCACCGCCCAATGCCGACGGCCACAAGGCAGTATTCGTGGCGCGAGTGCTGACTGGCGACTATGGACAGGGCCACCAGGGACTGCGGGCACCCCCGCCCAGGGCCGCGGGCCACGACCTCCTGCGCTACGACAGCGCCGTGGACAGCTTAGATCAGCCCAACATCTTCGTCATTTTTCACGATACCCAGGCACTGCCCACCCACCTCATCACCTGCGAGCACATACCCGGGGCTTCCCCTGGAGAGTCCCTCGGGCGGTCGGGCCATTCCCTGATGATCTCCTGACCCAAGAGGTCTTCAAGTCTTCCCCCCTCTCCCCCACCCCTCCCTGTCGGCTCAGCCTGGTTTCCTGCCCTCCAAGCTCCCTGCTGCTGAGTGGCCGGGAGGGTGCCCCACTCTCCCTGCTGTGGGGGCGGGAACAGGCCTTGTCCGACTTGGGTCTGATGAGGCCCAACCACCAGGGGTCAGCAGAGCCCAGGAGGAAAGCTCTGCTTCCCGCGTGGGTCTGCCGTTTGAATAAACATGTGCCTGAAACCTGGCGGAGGGGTCTGGTGGAGCTCTGGACGCGGCCTCCGCCTGGAGGTTAGGGACCTTGGTGTGGTGGGGAAGCGGGACCTTGGTGTGGCTGGGGCCGTGAGTCTCCGACTGCAGGTGGGAAAAGTTCCCAACGTCGAGGTGCCGATCGGGCCAAGCGTACTCTGGCGCGACCCCACGCCGCCATGTGTCGCGCACAATTGCCGACAACGTCTCCCGGCCGACCGCCCCGCCCAGCGTACGCAGGGAGGGCACCGCGCCTGGCCAGGTGTGCACACACGGAGGCGGGCGTTTCCTTGGCTGAGCCGCCCCTCACCTCACGGCTCCATCCGCGTCACGAGGCCGGTACCTAGCACTTACTCGGAGCCGCGATCGCGCGCGCACCGGCCGCTCGCACTCGCCCGGGCCCGCGCCGCGCGACACGACACTGGCTTCGGGCCCGGGGCGGGGCTTCGCACTCGCTCCGCCTGCGCTGCCTCCGCGGCTCTTCTGGACCAGCAGTCTGGCTGCGGCGGCCGAGCCGAGCCGAGCCGAGCCGAACCATCAGCCACGTAAGGGTCGAGATTGCCAGGGCGTAGGGCTGCGAGGTGTGGGGCGACCGCAAGTGTCCTGAGACTAGGGACTGCGTCCCGGCCCCACCGGCCCTCGGGCGGTCGCCGCTCCCTGCGCTGGGCAGACTGCGGAACTGGATGAGCGGCAGTTGGGGCGTGGGCAGGAAAGGCTACTGGGGAGGCGCGGTTGATGACCTGGCCGGAGACCAGGGCTGGGG